CGGTACATCAGCATTCAGTCCTTGTTGGACCAAGTCTTCAATGATTGCAATGGTGTCAGGCACAGAAACTTTGGTAAACAAAGAGACTACATGGACACGAACGAGCAAACCACCTGGAGATAATGAGATGTCCTTAATTAACGATACCAAGTAAGCTGAGTTACGTACAGCGAAGGTGGTCTTACCAGTGAATGGTTGTAAGGTCTCAGACGTAAATCGAGCCAGTTTGTAGGTCGGTGAGTCAGTGGTGGAGACAATAGGATGAAGTGGTGTGCCTTCTTTATGGATTTTTGGTAAGCCATACAATCTGGGTGGTCTAGCAGCGGAGGGTTTTAAGGAAACCCGCTTGGTTGGTTTGATTAAAGGGGCCGTCCATAAATGACGTCACGCGATTTTGGACGATTTTTGACCCCCCCCCCCCCCTCGTCACACGGCGTCACAAAAAGTCAGACTCCCCCTCAAATATGACGTCACAAAGCTTCTCCCCCCCCCCCCACACCAAAACAATAAAACATGCTTAAAATCGCTTTAAGCTATTGTAATTGTAGTGCGTATTTAATGTGGCGCTGCACTCTGATGTTGTGGGAGAAAACATTTATTAAAAAGTCTATTTAATTAAGTAGAACGTGTTGTCTATATTTATTTAAAGTTGTGCATTTTGATGTGACGTCATATTTTTCAACCCCCCCCCCCCCCATCGTCATACATCATCACAAATATCTAACCCCCCCCCCCCAAGTGCGTGACGTAATTTATGGACGGCCCTAAAAGATGTCGAATCGGTGATAATATTGTTGATTTTCGTAACGAGGCTGTTGGTGGGATCTCTTTTAATTTTGTATAGCTACCATCATTAAGTATTCTCTTTGATTGAACCTATCTTCGTGACTTTACCGAAAGACCCAAAGAATATGAATTCCTGCAGTCACGAAAGCTTTAAGTCATGGTTTTCCATTACCCCACAACACACGTGTAATCTCTGTGTAGCATCCGTGTTTGAAGGCCACTGATGCCTTGTGTGATGCACTTTCTATTCAACCTCCACACCAACCGCCAGACGAAAAGGGTGCAGCATAATAAACTGGCATCTTATATTTGTATCAAAACTTCTGCCGTAGGCTGTAAGGCATGGGTACACCAAACCAATTCCTAGGCGACACACATTCCCCTGCCATTATGAACAAAATTACTCCCTGGTCAGAGGCAGCTTGGACAGGGAGAAACTCAATTAGACGTTAGAGGGGTAATAACGGGCAGTGCCGATGATGCATCCATATGTCAGCAGTGCTTTCTTCCTTCTGCCAGATACCGCAGCTGTTACACAGTCGGAACTCAACCTCCAGGGATCCCTCTTGCAGTCTCACCCCAGCAGGGGGGAGGGGGGAGTTACACTGAGGTTGTGGATATGGGTGCCCCTCACATCCTCATATTTTCTGCAACAACCAAGAAAAGGTTATTCATTTCCAGCACTGGGCTGGACTCTTGTTCACAGATGTCCAGTATTGGCGGGCGAGAAAGGATAAAGCCATATTTTTTCATCATTTTTATACCGGTAAAATTGATCCCATATATAAAATTGAAGGACCTTATGGGAACATTTCAATGTTATTTGGGTCTTTCGGTAAAGCCACGTAGATAGAACAAATAATAAAATAATAACAATATCACGACGTTTCGATCGCAACACAAGCAATCGTCATCAGGTGAAAAATATAGCGGGAGAGCTGCTGAGAATATACAGTGAGGGAAAAAAGAGTATTTGATCCCCTGCTGATTTTGTAGGTTAGCCCACTGATAAATAAATGATCAGTCTATAATTTCAATGGTAGGTTTATTTGAACAGTGAGAGACAGAATAACAACAACAAAATCTAGAAAAACGCATGTCAATTTTTTTTATAAATTGATTAGCATTTTAATGAGGGAAATAAGTATTTGACCCCCTCTCAATCAGAAAGATTTCTGGCTCCCAGGTGTCTTTTATACAGGTAACAAGCTGAGATTAGGAGCACACTCTTAAAGGGAGTGCTCCTAATCTCAGCTTGTTACCAGTATAAAAGACACCTGTCCACAGAAGCAATCAATCAATCAATCAGATTCCAAACGCTGCACCATGGCCAAGACGAAAGAGCTCTCCAAGGATGTCAGGGACAAGATTGTAGACCTACACAAGGCTGGAATGGGCTACAAGACTATTGCCAAGCAGCTTAGTGAGAAGGTGACAACAGTTGGTGCGATTATTCGCAAATGGAAGAAACACAAAAGAACTGTCAATCTCCCACGGCCTTGGGCTCCATGCAATATCTCACCTCGTGGAGTTGCAATGATCATGAGAACGGTGAGGAATCAGCCCAGAACTACACGGGAGGATCTTGTCAATGATCTCAAGGCAGCTGGGTCCATAGACACCAAGAAAACAATTGGTAACACACTACGCCGTGAAGGACTTAAATCCTGCAGCGCCCGCAAGGTTCCCCTGCTCAAGAAAGCACATATACATGCCCGTCTGAAGTTTGCCAATGAACATCTGAATGATTCAGAAGATAACTGGGTGAAAGTGTTGTGGTCAGATTAGACCAAAATGGAGCTCTTTGGCATCAACTCAACTCGCCCTGTTTGGAGGAGGAGGAGGAATGCTGCTTATGACCCCAAGAACACCATCCCCACCGTCAAACATGGAGGTGGAAACATTATGCATTGGGGCTGTTTTTCTGCTAAGGGGACAGGACAACTTCACCGCATCAAAGGGACGATAGACGGGGCCATGTACCGTCAAATCTTGGGTGAGAACCTCCTTCCCTCAGCTAGGGCATTGAAAATGGGTCGTGGATGGGTATTCCAGCATGACAATGACCCAAAACACACAGCCAAGGCAACAAAGGAGTGGCTCAAGAAGAAGCACATTAAGGTCCTGGAGTGACCTAGCCAGTCTCCAGACCTTAATCCCATAGAAAATCTGTGGAGGGAGCTGAAGGTTTGAGTTGCCAAACGTCAGCCTCGAAACCTTAATGACTTGGAGAAGATCTGCAAAGAGGAGTGAGACAAAATACCTCCTAAGATGTGTGCAAACCTGGTGGCCAACTACAAGAAACGTCTGACCTCTGTGATTGCCAACAACGGTTTTGCCACCAAGTACTAAGTCATGTTTTGCAGAGGGGTCAAATACTTATTTCCCTCATTAAAATGCAAATCAATTTGTAACATTTTTGACATGCGTTTTTCTGGATTTTTTTTGTCGTTATTCTGTCTCTCACTGTTCAAACAAACCTACCATTAAAATTATTGACTGATCATTTATTTGTCAGTGGGCAAACCTACAAAATCAGCAGGGGATCAAATAATTTTTTCCCTCACTGTATGGTGGGAGCGCTGCTAAGGCGAAGAGTTATAAAGGTTTGAGATGGGTGTAGCCCAAGGGTCAGTGGGCGGGGCTCGAGATGAAATTTGCATGTAAATGTAAGATCAGATAAATCTTGACAAACGAAGCTGTGGGGGTGGCCATTGTATTGTGAGAGATTAGCATGTCAATGTATCAAATTTGCTTGTAAATGTAATCTCGGAGAGGGCTCAGAAAGAGCCATCACCACATGGAGGTGGGAAAGTATGGCAAGCCGACATTTGACTAATGTAGCCCAAGGTTCAATGGGCGGGGCTGGAGATACAATTTGCGTGTACTGTATATCTTGCTGATCTCGTCAAAGAGCATAAATCATCACGGGAACTCCGCTCATCCTCGCAGTGGCTTTTGGTTTGGCCATCGAACAAAGACGATCACTGCATCGCACGCTTTCGGATGCGCTTCAGTGGCCGTCTGGAATGCTCTTCCTTCCGATATTAGAAAGCCACTGGAGCTATGCATTTTTAAAATCTAGATGGAAAACTATTTCTTTAGAATGTATTTGTATTTAGTTTATTGTCTTTTCCCCCGCACCTCCAATGAGCATGTTTGGCTACGTACGGTACGTAAGAAGTTCAACTTACATACATACAATCGGTTTTATTTATAATAATACACATAATAATACATTGCGCACATTCTGAATTGTCCAAAATTATTACGGTCTCCCCACTCCATGCTCGTCATAGTTTTTTTTTTACCATACTTCACCACACTGGTCAGTGCAGGTTGGTGAAGTGGGGGTAGAGCAGGTCCAGTTTTGATATCACTCTCCACTGAAGTTAACCATGACGGTGAATCGGAATTGAGTTGCTGAGATCAAAGGGCAGCGCAAAAACCGCTATACCATCTCTCCACCCACGCGCTTGATTGGACTTTATCATATTTTACAGTTGGTGGGAATTTGGCTTGGAAGGAACTTTTGAAAATGAGATTAACATCGCAGCTCTATACCGGAGAGCATAAGTTGACATTTCACGTGGAAAGGGAATAGGAGACCTTCACACAAAATGCGTGGTCCAAATTTGCCGACTTACAAAATGCTCAGTTGTAATTTTACATTGCAATCATTGGCCCCCGCTTTCAAAAACGTTGACAGAACTCTCCTCAAGAAGAGTAATTAAATAATGTGAGGCTTTCCTGGGTAAACATGTGTAATTACAAACAATCAATGTAAATTCACTGCACTTTCTGACCCTGCACACCCACTTATAGCCACCTACCTTGTGTGGATACGCTCTTTATTGTTAGGACTAGGGCATAGGTTATCACGGCTGTGTGGCATATCCCTCCGATGTGATTTCAGGTTGCACCACGTGTTGTTAGACATGATGTCCAACGTTTCACTCCACCTCTTCATCTCCCAACACATGGAGTGAAATACCGGACACGATGCTGAATAACACGCGGCAGTACAACCAAAAAAGACATTCGACAGCTCTGCGTTGGTTGGTGTCGGTTGCTCCATAGGTCTATTAAGTGGCGACCTATAACAATTCCCCCGTGCGTATTGGTCAGCCGACATTGCAATATCTCTAATGTGTAGCGACAGTGGCAATCGATAGTATGTCATTGTTGTTCATGTTCGTCTGCCTTGTCTGCAGGTGGAGTGTGGCTGGTGGGGCTGTGTGTGGCGGCTCCCATGTTTTATGCACACACAGTGCAGGTGAGTAACAAACCACCACTGCCCATACACAGCATACCGAGTTTTCATCCGTTTCATTCTATGATGGATGTGTATGCTTCCTTCTTACAACGGTAGAAATATCATGGGACCTCCTTTGCCAGTGTCAAAATATAAGCATAGGTTTTCATCTTTTTTTCTGGCAACAAAACAGTTGTGTTCAGATGTTAAAACACCAAACTGAAACCTTTTGCAAGGAATCGTGTCTGGATTTACTCTACAACACACCAGTGGGCTGAAGTAGTAACTAATTGGCGTTTTATTTACGTGACAAATCCCTTACTAATTGGCTGTGTTGGGTAGTGGAGGGTTACGACACATTTAGACTTACGCGATCTCACCCAAAAACCTTTTTATTATGAATAATGTTGGTCGCGAAAGCCTACGTGTTAAAGGCTGTAGCCAGGAAAATGGTGTGCCAGAGATACCAAGAGAAGAGAGAGTAGAGAAAAGAGTAGGATGGTCAACCGTGTCAAAAGCTGCTGACAGATCGAGGAGTACAAGAATAGAAGAGAGACCATCATGAACATAGCCAAGTGATTCTCAACCAAAAGAAGAGCTGTTTCGGTTGAATGACAGTGACGAAAACTAGATTAGAATTTGGGGTAGAGAGAGTTAGAAGATACGTAGTGGGTAAGACGGGAGTGTTTGGAGAAATTGGGGAGAAGGGAAATGGGGCGGTAGTTGGCTCTAAACGCATGTTTCTAAATCTGGAGGGAAATACCGGAGGACTCTGAGAAAAATTAATGTCACCTCGAAAAGAACATGCAAACTCCAAATATGTAGGCATCAGGGTCGGGATCGAGCCCACAACCTCCTGTATAACCAGGCGAGGTAGTTAACATCACGCCACCTTGGCGCCCGACGTCTTAACAAAAAATATATGTAAATTCACAAAACCATTTATAATGTTTGAATAGCTTCACTGAGACTGCATAAAGAAGGTTACAGAAAGCAAATTGGAAAGAGGAAACGGGCACGTAGACCTGCTTTTTCCAAGGCTGTTCACTGCGATTCAAGAATAATTCATGAAAATTGTATTGGCGAAATTCTAATAAATGGTGAAATTATTGACCATCTCAAATCGGTAGAGTTTGTCATTCAAACAACCAATGGGAATGATCCACGCGAAATGATTGAAGCATTCAATAAATTAAAACCTGCAATGTAGGACTAAAGATACAGATTGGGAAAACGATAGTTACAAGTTTTGTGAACAAATATATTTTTTTGGATGGACGCAACTGGAAAACACATCAGAAAATGTAAAACTAGGGCAGTTATTGAATGCGAACCAAGCAGGCAAGGGCTGGCTGTTAGCGCTTTTCGAAAATAACAACAATAACGATGCTGATAACTCACGCCTGTCATTCAGCATTGTGAAGTCAACGAGGGTTGGTGGTTCACACACGCATTCGTGAAGCTCAAACCCCCGCTGGGCTACAAGGTCGCCATCTCCTGGCTTGCTAGGGTATGGCAGCACAGCAAGTGGAATAATTGACTTCTGTCTGGTGAGCACCGCGTGGTAAAGTGTCCGGTGTGTCTGGAGCAGGGTCAGGTGGATGACTAGTGGGTGGTGGCATGGTAATGTGTCTCGTGAGCGGTATCAGGTTAGGATCACGTGGCAGGTAGCGTCAGCTGAGTGGTGAGTATATGATGGCAGTGGCAGGTTAGTAGTGTCACGTGAGTGCTGAGTGGCCATGACGCGCAGAGCCGATGGTGGAGAAACCAGGAAGGGGAGAATCGTTGACAAAAGGGGACTGAGCCGATGGTGAAGATAACCCCGTCTGTAGGAGGAGCTGCCGTTTAGTTAATGGATATAAAGGGTTTTTTTGTAAAACCTGTTTAAAATTGAAAAATTGTCTTCACAACGTGGCAGCAACTTTTAACAAAACACCACCGTCCAATGTTATTAATCCGCTATGGGACATCTGTCACGCCTCCCCGATATATGTGAAACATATCTTAATAGCTTATCGGCTTCCTCGAGTATAAATTAAGTTTTAGATTCTATTCACAGCCTGCCCACATTTATTTCACAGCCTGTTGAAGGAGGATTTCATCAACTTGGCAGAACATTTTTTCCTGTAGATCCCAAATTCTTTTGTGTAATTCTTTTCAACTAAGTGTGAAAGCATATATGAATTAACTCTGCCGTTTCATCCATCTGTAAAAGAAGCGGGGTAGGAGGGGCGGATGATAACTCTTGTAAAGATGCTCCAATATGAATTCAAGTTTGTTTAACACGTAGGCTTTCGCGGCCAATATATTCCATAATAGAGGTTTTTGGGTTAGAAGTGTAAATATAAATGCGTCGTTAAATTCACCACCACCCGACACAGCCAATTAGTAAGGTTTGCATGCAAACAGACCATACCACCTCGTTACTAGTGCAGCACACCGGTGTGTTGGAGAGTAAATATGTTGGTCAGACAGGACAAATTATCAGCATGAGTCTCAAAGGACACCAAAGGAATATGAAATACTCCCAAATACAACTGTCGGCAGTGGCAGACCACGCGTGCCAACAAGGACACTCAATTTATCTTGATAATGTTGAAGTTCTGTGCAAAACTAGTTACTACTGACCAAGACTAATTACATAATCTATCGACATTGAGAGAAATAAACATACTGTAGCTTAGTGCTGCTTGGAAGCGAATCATCAAGTAATACACTGTTTAACTGCAATACCTATAAAGGTGATTAGCTATGAGCAGACAATAAACAGGTACTGCGGTTTCCGTGCACACAAACGACAGGATGTACAATAATAATATGCATGCATAATGTTAGTTGATTGCCATATGAATAACCCAACCGGTAATGGGTACCCATTATAATTTATATGCATTCATTACCCCCCCCCCCCTCTGACCTTTGCACCTGAAGGGCTCACAAGTGAGAACATCACATCTATCCCTCTTTTTAAGAACGAAACCGGAGGATTTATATTTAAAAAATCTGGATGTCCCCTGATGATGCTAGTTGTAATTACTGGCGAAACGTCGTACTCAAATTGTAAATGTTGTGGATTTGCTCTCCAACACACCGGTGTGCTGTACTAGTAACGAATTGGCCACGTTCTGTTTACGTGACAAACCTTACTAGTTGGCTGTGTCAGGTGGTGGCGGGTTTAACGACACATTTATATATTTACGTGATCTAACCCACAAAACCTTGTATTATGACTTCAAGTTTAATATAAAGTTGTGTTGCTCATCGGTACTGGCCCAATCCAGAACTGGACTCATTGATCAAAGGGTTGCAAAAGAACTGGTGACACTATTTGAAAATATTAAAACTCAATTGGGCCCTGACAGCTACCTATCGGTAATACAAAATGTTTTTGCCATTGAGGCCAGATGGGGCATCTGGGATAGCCCAGAGTTTAAATGCGGACAAGTGCAGACATTGATGCATACTGTGAAGGAAAATTCCACTCTGAACCTACCGGACGTCCAATTAGCACGGTTGGCTACGTACGGTGCGAAAAAAGTTCAACGTACATAAACACACTGAATGAAGGATTCAGAGCACTGAACACGTGCACACGACGACGTCGTCGTCTTGTTCAGCAAGCACGTGTATTGCGAGAAGACAAACTTGGCATTCGCTTCTCAATGAGCGAGGGCACGTGTCGACTTTAATTTGTTCACAAGCGCGATCGTATCGTCATCATTTTTTTTCTTCTACCGCGACTCCCATGCGGTAGATCTTGCGACGCGGCGCAATCAATCTCTCGGGTGTGGACCAATCATTTTCAAGGACAGTGCATATCATGATCAGAGTTTGTCTCTTTTTGTTTGCATTTTGACTGCTTGTGTTGTGGTTATTGCAAACATGATCCCTTGTATAAAGGTGTCAGTTTTGGTGCCAGATAAAATGGTAAAAACCTATTACTAGAAGGAAAATAGCTGTGACCTGCAGTGTGGTGGTTGAGCACAGGCTGGATGAGATGAAACAGTCAATATGGTAGTGTAGTTTTATCCGGGTGTTGGTGGCGCACTCCCGTAATTCCAGCACTGTGAATTAAAATTGGTGGATCACAGAAATGTTGTGAAACGCTCTTCTTTTTGGCGTCAAAATGCCATATCATAGCTTGCCAGAAGGCAGTTCAGTAAGTGGACTAATCGCCATCTGTTACCATCTAGTTTAAAATACAGTAAAACCTTGGATTGCGAGTAACTTGGTCTGCGAGTGTTTTGCAAGACGAGCACACATTTTAAATAAACATTAATTTGATAAACGAGCGAGGGTCTTGCAATACGAGTAGTACGTATACGCTTTGTCTGCCGAGCGTCACGTGATCACAACTGATATACGAGTGCTTTGATATACGAGTGCTTTGGATTACAAACACGTTTACCGGAACGAATATTGCTCGCAATCCAAGTTTTTACTGTATATTAATATTTAGAGGGCCACCGAGCTTGGGCATTTATTGGTGCCTGCTGACTGTCTGGCTGCTGCTTGTCTTCCTCCAGCGGGTACTTGTGCACATTATAGATTTAAATCATTATTAGCTAATGTGTGGGAGTGCAAATTCGTGTAAAATGTTGCTATCTGTAAACAATGTTTTCTTAAACAATGTTTTCTTAAAGTGTACATATTGTGCCCACACTGGACATCTGTGAAAAAAATAGCTCCACGACGGCTCATCGGATTCCCCCAGTCGACAGGAAGATTCTGATTTTGACATCGTCGCCCCCCCGGTTTCAATCTGTCCCGTGACCGTGGCGGCTGTGCAGGTGACGTACGATGTGCTCTATGACGTGTCGCACACGGGCTGCAGCGAGCAGTGGAGCCACGCGGAGCACCGCCAGGCATACACCACGACGCTGCTGCTCGTCACCTTCGTGCTGCCGCTGCTCACCATGACGGCGCTCTACACGCGCCTGGCGCACGAGCTCTGGGTCAAGACGCGCGTGCACGACGCTGTCTTCAACGCGCTCCAGCGCTCCGAGATCAACAAGATCACGAGGTGCGGAGTTTGCGCGCGGGGTGGGGGGGGGGGGTGCGCTGTGCCCCCTGCCCGTGATGTGTGGTGCGATATAGGCGTGGTGGTGGTGGTGGTGGTGTTGTATCGGGGTGTGGTGTGGTCGTGGTCGTGCGGCGTGATGTGTACGGCACGGCGTGATGTCGTGTGTGGCGTTTCGTGCTGTGATGTCGTCGTGTCTTGGGGGAGCGGCAGTGCAACGCAGCGCTACGAACCCGCCGACCCGAGTTCGATTCCTGCTCACGGGCAACATCAGTAGCGATCAAGTGAACCCGTCCTGGGCCTCCCCTAGGGCGACTCGGCCTCAAATAAGTGCCTGGTGCGATATGTAAACATCACCCCTGCGTGTGCCGTGCTGGCATTAGCAGGTGCTCGCTAACGGCACTTGCCCCAACTGTCAATTAAGGCTACATGGGGGATCTTCGTCTTTTTGATATGTGGTGTGCTGTGAAGTGGTGTAGTGTGGCTATGATGGCACTCAAAATCACTTCTTCCCTCCGTTGTGTTGCGTGGCATGGTGTGGCATAGCTGGGGTATGGGGTCGTGTGGCTTGGTTGGGGTAGTGTAAGTGGGGTTCGGTAGTGTTGTGCAGTGTGGGATTTGCGTGGCATGTCGTGGGATAGTGCAGTGTGGGCTAGTGTGCAGTGGCTGGGGTAGTGTGGAGTGGTGTGTGCGATAGTGCTACGCATTATGTAGTGTGGTGTGGCGTGGGACAGTGTGGAATGATGTGCTGTGACGTGGCACCGGGATGAAGAAATCTGACTCAGAGGTCGCCTTGCATGTGCCGGTTTCACAAGCGAACGCACGATGGAGTCTGCAGCATGTTGGGATGATGCTAAAGTACAAAATGTATATATTCAATCTGAGGATGCTTGAGATTTAAGGGCTCGAAGAGGAAAACTATAGCAGTGTAAGCGATCAAAAGAAATGACTCAATTAAATAAAACTTCATGTACGGAAAAAGATTTCTGCCATTTCCCCATGAAAGCTGCCCCAGAAAAAATGCACAACAGGATGTCAGGCAGTTCAGCATGTTCCAAGTTCGTTCGCTGCTGTACATATACACACAGTTGCTTTGCAGAGTTGGTGGTGCTTGGCCCATTGGGGGACCAAGCAAATATTTCTTGGTGGCCCCTCGCCTTTCAATTAATACAAATCTCGTGAGATGACAGAGAAGATATAAACATGAAATATAGATGTGGTTCGACGTGAAAACTTTAGACAAGAGATGCAGTGAAATAGGATAACAGGGATGCAGACAAGAGAGAGAATGATTGGCTTTTCGTGCATAACTACACAATTTATTCCACCACAGAAAAGTATGGTGCAGGGTAATTGGCAACACAGCATACGTGAGGATGAAACAAAGTCGAAAACTATATCCGGTTTGAGCAGATTTACTCTTTGCTCACATTGGGAGATTACACACAGTGAGGGAGATGTGAGGAGGACATTCAAATATGCCTCACTCCTGATAGACGCAATTCATCATCATCATCACGATCCATGGGCAGATAGCCCGCAGGAGTACACTGCACATTTCGTCATGTTTCCACTTTCCTCTGTCTTGTGCCAATATGCTCAAGCAGTGCACATATTTCATGTATTTATGTCGTCCTATATTCCTAGCAATCCCAATGACACTCACGCAATATTCAGGTAGGCAGGTGAAATAAACCCCATTCCATCCAGGGCCCGATCAATATTCCGTAGTCCCCGGGGCTACAGGTACTGTGAGGCCCCCAGTAATATTTTCAAAAGGAAAACAAACTTAAAGAAAAATCTAATGTATTTTTACAAGGCTAACAACAAATAAAATTCAGCATTCACAAATTAAATAACTTTTCACTTCATCTCTCGAGGCCCTCCAGATAGCGGCGGCCTCTGGGCTGCAGTCCCTAAAGCCCCGTGGCTTGATCCAGCCCTGATTCCATCCCATACCAAGCAACTTAACCATCCACACATCTGGCAATCGAGACTTCAAGTGCAGTTGAGTGTCCACAGCTTGCAATACGTATTCAGTCTACACAGATTCAGCAGAGCCACACAGCACATTAGCTTCACAAGAATTCAGCCGGGAGACCAGCACCCTCATCATCAATTATGATGATAATGAGGGTTCAGAAGCTTGGGCATGATCATTGCTTCTGTGCTCTCCTTTCAGTCCCCACAAGACACTGCTCTATGAATTGCCTCTGGTCTCTGCTGCTGCCACGATCTGCAATGAGCCGAGCTGGCTGTTCAGCTCGCCGCTATTGCTGCTTTTGTTGGTCATTGGATGAGCTGGGAGAAGTTTTGGCTTGCTGGCTCCCTACAATGATCTGCTGCCAGAGCATTTACACATCAAGTCTGTACCACACTCCGTCTCCAGCCCATTGTTCGTATAGGTTTAGATCATTCTGGCCAGATCTGGTTGAGACCAGCCGCTGCCGTAGTCAGGTGTCAAAAGTTGGTCGATCAGTCGAGCAAGAATTCTCAGTGCAGGAGAGCTCACTTCCCACACCAACTCACACAAAGTGTCCTGCAGTTTGTAAAACTGTGCACAATCTTAAATGAAACCCTTGACAATTGGCTCGTTTATTCTGATTTGAGGTGATATTGTTTTAATTAAAAAACATTTTTTTATAGCAACACAACGCGAACCCTGTGCAAAGCACCGACCACAGTACGGGTGGGTGGGGGGGACAGAAACTCCGCCAACAAAAAAACCCCGCGATGGGCGCACCCAGGGGCTTAACGAAGGGCGACGTCGGGCTCTCTGCCCCACGCTGATGGGGACCACAACGCGAGGACATTGAAAGCTTCAATGGGGAGGGAAGAAAACTTAAATAGTGGGGTAGAGGCTGGGCGGAGAAAAGGTGGGGAGGGGGTGGGGAAGCATGTAACAGAACACAGCAAATAAAATAACTTACGGCAACAAATTAACGTATCGTGATCTACAGTATAGTTCCACAGAGCAGAGATCCGTTCCAGGATTTGATGTGATATTTGATATACCCCTATTTTTCATTTATCCTAAGCCCCATGAGCTGCTTGGTTTGCTTATGCTTCGTGCCATCCAAGGCCATAGCCATGGAGTCAACATTGGGAGGGACCACATTTTCCAGGGGGTATGGGGTCCCCCCCCCAGAAAAAGAATCTAAATTTGAAAACTCATTTCCTGCCTAAAATATAAAAAAAATTCACAAACACATAGGATGGACTTTTTTATTTATTTTTTACAATAATGTCTAGCAGTGTATTGTATTACATTGCTCTGTTTTTTTATTTTTTACCTTTTCTTGTTTCATTGTATTTAATGGCAGGCAGAGATTAGGGATGCATACATTACAACCATAACCACAATCATATAAACAGAAATCTATGCATTGTTATATGAAGACAAGTCCAGATATTGTGGCTAAGATTTAGCAAATTGTTGTTTTTATTTACATAGCATCGCAATATTTTTTTAAAAATATTTTTATACCAATATATTTTAGGGGGGGGGGATGTGCCCCCCCCCCCCATATACATTATAATTACGGTCTTGGTGCCATCACTGCAGAGTTCACAGAGTTTATTCCCTTTTCTCGCAAACTGTCATCCTGATTAGGTGGTCTTCCAAGCTGCCTTCTAGCTACCCTTTCAATATTTCTTGTTGTTGAACAATGCTGTGAAGACTTCGGAAGAACTGTGTGGTTGCAGGTCCATTATTGGTGATATGATCTTATTTTCTGACTCGCTGTGGGCAAGTCCCTCTTGGGCTTCATGTTTTTATTTATTTAACGAATGTTTACTCATTCTTGGTTCTTTCGGTAAAGTTACGTAGAAGGGAAACAATAAATTATAAAAATATAAAACAATAAAATTCTCACGACGTTTCGACTGCAACACAAGCAACACAAGCAGTCGAAACGTGACTTTACCAAAAGAACTAAAGAGTATGGATTCCTGCAGTCACGAAAGCTTCAAATCAACAAATGTTTTACACGTCATTCTAATACAGTTAAGAGTGTCAGTTATGCAAGAAAGAAAAATATAAATTTCGATTTAAAGCTTTCGTGACTGCACGGATTCATCTTCTTTGGTTCCTTCGGTAAAGTCACGTAGAATGAGAATAAAATAATAAAATAAAAGAAGACAATAAAATTCTCACGACGTTTCGGCCACAACACAAGTAACCTTTTTCAGGTGAAAGAACAGAACTGTCGGGAAGACAGAGGAAAAAGAAGAGCTCTTTATTATTTTATTCTCATTCTACGTGACTTTACCGAAAGAACCAAAGGAAAAAGAAAAATATGTTTATCAATGTTATTTGTGAGTGGACGTCAGCCCACGTAGCCACAGAGCCATGTGACAGCCATCTCCTCCAAGGATTCGGATGTCGTCATGTCCCTGGCTGCTTTGTGAGTTGACATTGCTGGGCACGGCACAAAGGAGGCTGTGAATTCGAGGTGACCTCAACGCTGTTTCCCACCTGTGCCCTATCCAGGAGTAAGAAGCGTGCCGTCAAGATGATGGTGATCGTGGTGATCCTCTTCGCAGTATGCTGGGCGCCCTTCCACGTTGTCAACATGCTGGTGGACTATGGTGAGTATGGGTCCCTTGTCCTCGCGGACATCGGCTGTGCTGTTCACAGCACGCATGCAACACCTGACCCATCGGTAGTGTGTTCGCCACTTGTCCTAGAAGTCCACGGTTCAAATCCAGCAAGCCGTCTTCTGCTTTAATGGACGTTAAATATCGATGATGCCATTTGAAGAAGAGTAGGCCATTGTGTCGGTGTTCTGGTCGAATACAAATACTTGCAAAATTACTTAATTGGGAAACACAGTAATCATTACCTCCAACTGCAAAAACGTATAGAGTCTCAATGAGGCATTCCTGTGTAAACAAGGATAAATAAAAGTAAATAAAAGTAAATTACATGGTGACAGAAGCAGCCTTTCATTCGCATGAGCAGTACAATGTCAAACAACCAAACTCAATTGGCCGAGTACTCGATGGGTATCTGAACATAGGGGGAAGAGAGATAATGTAACTCTTGTACTAGTGGTAGGAGTGTTATATTTTTCCCTCTCAAATAACAGGCTTCATGTGCCCCAACAGCTACTCGAGGTGACTTACCCATGGTTAATTGCCCCCTAAAATTCTAAATTATTCCACTTGCTAGTCGGGTTTTACAGAAGGGATGTTGGGCCGAATCAACCCTCAAAAACTCGGATTTTAACTCAGATACAATTACGAGCTGCTCGCTCTAATCCTGAGCTGCATGACCATACTGTATTAGATTTGAACCTTGGTATTTCATGAAATAACAGGTGGACGCTAAATGTCTATTTTTTTACCCTTTCTTTTTGTGTTTATTCGCACGGAAAGTGTTTGCTGTTGTTGTGCCTATTTATCTGTGGACATTTGGCTCACATGCAATATCATTTTACTTACAGTCTGAGGCGTGATGACGTGTGAAGCTCGTTCATATGTATTACATCTTAATACCGATGTGTATATCACAGCAGAATGTCTATTTTACGTGGAGCATGCACATCCCTGATGCTGGCAGAATGTGGAGGAATGCTCCAGCATATATATTCCTTAAGGATCCTGTACTCGCTCTTTGAAAAAAATGTTTTGTCTTTTGTTTTTGTTGCTGCTGTGCTTGACCGCCACTGAACTCCCTTGTAAAATAGTAAGGAAACTGGCTAAACGAGACCTATCCATTTATTCTAATTGACTTAAACTCACTTGACATCTCGAAACAACCTCCATGCACCATGGGTCAAGGCCATTGACGAATCTTCTGGATCAGACCTCTGCTGCTCATTCAATGGCAAATTTTGATCTGTTGGGTCCATAAGATCTACTTTTGGGTTCAAACTAGGCTGAGTACCACTCTCCAGTCTGCTGTTTCATTTTGTATTACAGGCATATCGCCTGGTATGGGTTACGTTGCTTAATGTAAGATCACTGAACAAAATGTATGTTGAACTTCTTTCGCACCGTACGTAACTATCCGTGCTCATCGGCAATGATTTTATGACCAACAATGTAGCGGCGCGTACGAGCCGCTAAATTCCCGCGGCGGGCGGTGTTGTGTGTGGAGGGATAAGGGGGAAGGCCCCTCCCCTCCCTCGCAATGAATTACATGTAATTTAGTTAATGCCCATCTCTGTCCAATCTGTCTCCCTGTCTCACAATCTGTCTCCCTGTCCCTCTGTCACTGGTGCCAAAAGGAAACCTGGAGATGAGCTTTGACATGGAGGCAATCACCTTGGCAATGGTGCAGCTCTTCGGATTCAGCAACTCGTTGTGGAACCCAATTGTCTATGCTGCCCTCAACCAGAACTACAAGAAGCAGCTGGCGATTGCTTTGTCCTGCCTGATGTGCCGGCGCCCTGATCGCATCGGCGTGAGCGACCCTCCGGGGGGAGTCACAGCGCCACCTGGGGCCGCGCTGCGCCTGCAGGTAGAAGGCATGCTGGCAGGCGGAGAACCATGGCCACAGGAGAGTAAGACCTACGCGGAGAGTAAGTCGGGCACGACTGCGCTCAGCGCCATGAACACCCGTGGTGCCAAGATGCACGTGAGCAACAGGAGAGGTGCCGCTGACGTCGGCGATGTTGGCGGCCGCCGAGAGGGCGAGCCGAGCGGCGGTGCCGTCCCGGCGGGGCCAGGCGGAGATGGGGTGCGCTGGGCCCGCGCCTGTATCTGCTCCGCAGTGCCGCTCCAAGGCGCGAGTGGTGCCGTGGGCAGGACGCGCCACCACCTGCCTGTCTGCCGATTTCGCAGCCTGCGCCGACTCTGTGGGGGTATTGGTACTGGGGTGGAGCAGCACGCTATGGTGGCGCTCACCATCACTGACCCTATCTCTCCACTTGGAAAATGGGCCACTTGGCAAACAATTTCGTAAATGCCTTAAAATGTCCCTTTTTTGCAAAGGGTTAATGTTTGGATGAGGGTTAGATGGTATCTGCGAATGTCTGTAGGTTTCAAATTTTCGACACAAAAACATGCACCAGTATTGTTGCTGTGCAACTTTGTTGTTACATTTTTTACACATATATAATCTTGGTATTTTTATATTTTATTCCCATTGTGCTATTGATATGTTATGAGAGAAAGTATCGACTGTATTTGGAACTCTCAGAGCACCGTGGCACCGTGTGAATTTGTAATCAGTACTTATGAAGAGCAGTCGGAGACTGGTTAAAGCACTTCTACAGTCTTCAACCCACAACCTCGAACACACCTTTAACAGCCGCTTTTAAACCCTCCATCTCCGCCCTCGTTCCCAATCCACATCTCTGTCTCGTCCGCCGTGTGCGTGTGAAGTCAGTGCCCTTTAATCCCCTGACCCCCGTCTAGTATATTCCCATGCATGTGATTGGTGTGTGCTATGTTGAGTGTGGAGATTGCGTGAGGATGGCTCGGACATCCCCTACACTTATAAAAAAGATTTTTGTATTTACAAAATAGGGGAGACACTTTCCTATACACTCTGCCATGAGATTGGTAGCGCTGTCACATTTTATGTCAGGATGAACTGTTGGCTTATTATATGATGAGCAAAAAGTTAAATATTGATGTGCACTATAATTATGGATGGGGGTGCAATACGTGGGCGAGGGGGGGGGCAGGGGATGTCATGCAAAAGAGGGTCGCACCCACAAGTGGGGATATTAGGGGTGGGGGAGGAACGTCAGTCAAGGACAGGTACTTTCACTTTATTGTGAAGCAGTTTTTCTACCTGGCTGGAGGGAGGGACAGGAGGATAGATGATCACATTCAAAGAATATGTGGGCTGTTGTATATATTGGGTCTTGAAAATATTCCCAAATTTCATTTAATAAAAACTCAATGAAATTTTGGAATATGCGGAATTGTCAGAAATTCTGTTAATTGTTGTAATTATTCGCATAAATTATGATAATTAGGGATGTGTAATCGTATTAAGTTATGCAATTGCACGCGATTATGCTAATGTAGGCAGTTATGATAATTAGGCTTAGCTTCGTTGGCCAGGGTCGTATCATCAATCGGGATAAGACAATGAATTGTATGAAGTTATGCAAGTGTGATGTAAGTATGGTAGATTAAGCTCGGCTTCGTTGTCTAGGGTCGTATTATCGATCGGTATAATACAATTATTCTCGCTTAACATTTACTGATTATGTCTTTGTGTGTCTATGTCAGGTCTCCAAATTCAAATCTCACCGCAGGATACAGTTCTTATAATTAAGATTATTATGCATAAACTTAGGAAGGCACCACTCAGACACTTCTGTGTTAAGCAATTTTAATTTCTAAACAAAAACATAACACTCTAATATGCGAACTCTTATGCTTGGAATTGTCAACACAGTACTCCTGGAGATGTTCTCCTCATTGAAACATACATTTAACCCTCAATGGTCACGTTTGTTAACTGGGTAACGGTACAATCGATTATTCCTCAGTGTACGCGAGCATACAGGGCGAGAGGAAAAGTCCTTAAATATTCATGCAACGATATTCATACGAAGGGCAGCAATGTTCTTGAAACACAAAGATAACTTTTTGGAACAATCTTATTTGTCCCGATATGCGTGTTGTGTGTCTTCTTTGCCACTTGTTCAATTCTTTGCGGAAAGCAGACGCCGGGCGATGCGTCGTGAGGGTGTGAGTGTGGGGGAGGGTCGTACAAACGGCTTCGTTCTCTCTCTTGCTCGGGGGCGGCCACAGTTTCGGTCCACAGCTGGGTGGAAGAGTCGGCACGACGCTCGCCGTCGGTGAGCGATGATTCGTCGTCAGATAGCGCCCGCAGCTCGTCCGCTCGCTGCAGTTCCTCACTCTTGTCTTGGTTTCCAGCCGGTGCTGGTCAGTGTGCGTGTGGGTCGTACCCACGGCGCGCTCGCTGGCGCCGACACTCTTGCTCACGGGCGGCTGGTCAGGCTCTTTCCCCTGCTGGATGAGCCGAGTCGGCACAACGCTTGTCCGCTGGCAGCTATAGCTTAGTTTGGACTTAAGTTTTCGTGATTGCAGGAACTCATGTACTTTGGTTCTCTTGGTAAAGTCACGTAGATAGAAAGATACAATAAGAAATAATATAAGGAATGCTGCAGTCTATAATGTCGACTTATTCTCATAGCCAAGCTTCAACTTTTTCCGTCCAAAAAAAAAATATCAGTTATAATGTCCGTTTGCCCTGTGCTCTGTGTCCGTGCCTGTGATTCTGGATATTTGTTTGTGAACTGTCCAAAGCGCCAAGCAGGTCATGGCATGCGGTCCTTTGGCAATCTGGAGATTTTGCAGATCGTCGTTAACCTCCCTTTGCCCCGGAGTTTATTATTTAATGGCCTTTTTCGACCTCCAGATGCTTTGTGCTTGTGGGAGGTAGCGGGTTTGAGGGTGTTTTATTCATTTATTTGATCGATTGTTATTTTAAAAAAATGGCAGAATAATTTTTAATGTAATTTTTTGGAAAAAGGCCTGTATATACAACAGGGCAGATAGACCAACAAATGTTAGGTTTACTATTAGGAAATTGCCTTTTCAGATCAATATTATCAAGCAGAATTCATTCGTTTGTTTCTCAATCCACTTGTCCTGGTGAGGGTCGTGGCGGTAGCATGTTGAGTAGGGCAGTCGAGACATCCCTTTTCCTGGCGACAGACTCCAGCTCTTCCTGGGGAATCCCAGGCGTTCCCAGGCCGGCCAAGCGACATTGTCCTGCCAGCGTGTCCTGGGCTGGCTCCGGGGTCTTCGCCCAGTGGGACGTGCCCGGTAGAGTTCCAGGGGGAGTCTACTGGGGGGCATCCTTACCAGGTGCCCGAACCACCTCAACTGGCTCCTCGTTATCCGGAGGAGCAGCGGCTCGACTCTGAGACTCTCCCGGATTACCGAGCTCCTCACCCGATCACAGAGAGTGAGCCCGGCAACCCTGCGGGGAAACTTCATTTTGGTCCCTTGTACCTGTGGTCTCATCCTATCAGTCATAACCCAAAGCTCATGACCATAGGTGAGGGTCAGAACGTAGCTCGACATGTAAACCGAGAGCTTTGTTTGAGAACTCAGCTCCCGCTTGACTACCATGGAACAGTACACCGCCCACAACACTGCGGACGCTGCACCGGATGCCACCGATCTCCCGCTTCCGCTTACCATCACTCGTGAAAGAGACCCCGAGGTTCTTAAACTCCTCCACCAATGGCAGCTTTCCCCCCTCGCCTGGAGAGCACAATCCACCATCTCCTAGGAGTGAACCATGATCTCAGATTTGGAGGTGCTGATCCTCTTCCCAGCCGCTTCACACTCAGCATCAAACCGTTCAAGTGCACGCTGGAGATCACAGACTGACGACAAAAAGAGGACAACGTCATCTGCAAAAAACAGCGACGCCATCTCCATGCCTCTGTACTGGATACTCTCCAAACCTCGGCTGCGCCTTTATATCATGTCCATGAAAATCACAAAATATCCTGTGCATGAAAATCATAATCACAGGAGTGGAGACAAGACGCACCATTGGCGGAGTCCAACACCCACAGTGAACACACGCAGCTCTCACTCCGGGAATAGAGGGACCGGATAGCATGCAAAAGCGGCACCGGTACATCATACTCTCACAACACCTCCCACAGAACATTGTGGGGAACACGGGAATATGCCTTCTCCCAGTCTAGAAAGCAGAGGTAGACAGGGGAAGCATACTCCTGACCCCTGAAATATTGTTATACGACCCTGGCAGAATCCGCATTGTTGCTCCTGAATCTGATGCTCAACCACCTGGCGGAGCCTCCTCTCCAGCACTCTGGCATAGGCTTTAGCTGAGATGCTGAGACGTAAGATCCCTCTGTATTTGGAGCACACCCTCCGATCCCCTTTCTTAAAAATGGGGACCACGACCCCAGTTTGCTAATCTAGAGGTGCTGTACCCGCCTTCCATGCAACATTGAAAAGTTGTGTTAACCACGACACTCCTACACTGTCGAGCACTTTCAACAACTCTGGGCGAATCTCGTCCACCCCAGCAGCTTTGCTGCTATGAAGGCTCTTGACCGCCGCAGCGACTTCAGCGGCCGTGATGGATCCGACCCCCCAGCTGTTTCCAGGGCTGCTTCCGGAGTGAAGGGTATGTCGACTGGGTTGAGGAGCTCCTCAAAGTGTTCCTTGCACCTCTCGACTACCAACTTAGTTGAGTTTAATGTTACGCTACCCTTACTAAAAACAGCCTGGGCCATGTCCCGTCAACCCCTCCTAAGGCATCGGGTGATTTGCCACAACATCTTTAAGGCTGCCAAGTAGTCCCTCTCCTTGGCCTCTCCAACACTTCCCATACCCGGGGTTTTGCTTTAATCGACTGCTCCTGCTGCCACTCTCTTGGTAAGCTGGTACCTCTCAATCGAGTCGGGAGATATTTTTTTCCGAGCATAGCTTGCAAAACCTACTTCCTCAACTTGACAAACATCGTCCACTTGGACTCAATGTCCATGACCTCCCCTGGAGTTTAGGAGAGGTTTTCCTGGAGGTGGCAGTGCAAATCTTTCTGCACTGGGTCTTCCGCCAGACGTTCCCAGAAAACCTACACTATTCAGTTGGGCTTTCCACGTCTATCTGGTCGGTGTCCCATGCACCGGATCCAACTTACCACCAGGTGGTGATCAATTGAAAGCACTACCCCTCTCTTCACCTGAGTGTCCAGAATATACGGCCTTAGGTCTGATGATACAACTATAACGTCAATCATTGACCTTCGGCCCAAGGTGTTCTGAAACTAAGTACACTCATGAGCATCCTTGTGTTCAAACATGGTGTTTGTTATTGACATTCCGTTACTAGCACATAATTCCAATAACATATCACTGTTCAGGTTCAGATCAGGGGGGGGGGCATTCCTCCCAATCAGGCCTCTCAAGTTATCTCCATCGTTGCCCACGTGAGCATTGAAGACGCCCAGTAAGATTACAGAGGAGGTAGGCGGCACTCGAACGAGCACTGCACACACCGTCTCCAAAAAGGCCGGATACTCTGAACTGCTATTTGGTGCATAACCACAGACAACAGTCATAGTTTTCCTTTCTGAGACCTGAACTCTCATTGAGGTAACACTCTCATCCACTGGGACAAACTCCAACTGAACAGCACCCAGCCAGGGGCTTGTGAGTATCCCCACACCCGCCCAGGGCCTCTAATCAGGGGTTACTCCGGAATAGGAAAGAGACCACCCCCGATTGAGAAGTTTGGTTCCGGTGCCAATCCTAAGTGTGGAGGTGGGACCGACGATATCTAGTCGATACCATTCCACCTCCTTCACCAGCTCTGGCTCCTTCCCCCCCAGTAACGTGACATTCCACGTCCCAATAGCTAGTGTCCATTGCAAAGGTCCAGCTCATCCGAGACCATCCCTCTCCCTGCCATACTGACATCGCAGCCGCCCCTCGTCCTGCGGATGGTGGGCCCATAAGATGGTGCTACGTAGCCATTTTGGGCTGGGCCCAACCGGGTTATGTGGGTCACCCGGCCATCAGGCGCTTGCCGATGAACACCACACCCAGGCCTGTCTGGGCCAAGTTCTCTGATTTTTTTCAAATTAGAACCATTCATGAGGGGCTTTGTTTTGGACCGTTATTTGTCTGGAACCTCCCCCCAGAGATGTTAGCCAAGGGAGACCCTACCAGGAGTACGAGACTCCAGGCGACATAGCTCTGAGGGTCATTGGAACACACTAACCCCACCACCATGATGAGGTTACGATCTTTCGGTAAGGAGCAGCATTAGTTTGAGTAAGGAAGCTCTGGTTTTAACCTTTTACAAACAGTAACATGGAGGTCTAATGATGATGAAACAGTAACATGTTTTTACGTGCATTCGCCAATAAACAAATGGCACCGGCTCACAGTAATCCACAGGCTGTGTTCAACAGGCTGTCTAATGCAATATTACTCAAGAAGCAAGTTTTCTGTGGCAATGCTGTTTCTCCTGTCAAGTCATTTTTTTAGCTGCAGTGAGAGCCCATTGTGGTAAATTATGTCTCCGAAAGAGGAAGCTCACAAACTATGCAATTAAATGTTTTTCACAAATACCCCAGTACAATATATGTAATCTTGTACGGA